CCCCCACACACATACACGCACACTCATCTTGATGATGTCAACTTAAAGCCACAACTTTCCTCTTTAAGGAACAACAGGACTTAACAAAGTGGCATGTATAGTATGAGAGATATGAGCAAATATGTGACGTAGCTGTGGACTGTCAGCCCCAGGGGAGCCCCAGGCCCCTTGAGGGGGTCCTCTGTGAGGCCGAGACCCTGATCTTCCTGTCTCTTGCCATTAGTGGTGTTGCTCTGCATGCACTCTGCATTGATTGGCGGAGCCACGCAGAAGCTGCTGCTGGAGATGGCTCACGACATGCGGATGACAGGTGGGCCGCTGGTGTTCATGCCCTATGACACGCTGCTGTACGGCCTGCCCTACCGCGACATGCACTACCGTGCCCTGCATGACAGCAGGAAGCTCCTACGGGCGTATGATGCTGTGCTCACCATCACCGTGGAGACCAGGGACGTCTCCTTCTACCAGGCCTACCAGGAGGCTGTGGATGGTGGCGAACTTCCTGTCCTGGTGGCAGGCCATCAGGTGAGGGCCCAACATGCATTCCTGCATCTGCAGAAGTGTATGATCAGTCTGCTGGAAAAATGTCTGCGGTAATCGTTTGGTGTTTGTTGGTGTGATATCCTCTACGTGTTTCTGTAGGTATCTCCTCTATTTGGCACCATCTACGACTCCATCATGCTCCTGGCTCACTCCTTGCACAGTCTACAGCGCTCAGGGGAATGGCCTTCAGGGGGCAACCTGGCGCGCCACACACACAACCTGACCTTCCTTGGCTTCAGCCATCCCATCCGCATAAGTGACTCTGGCGCCGCCCTGCTGGACTATGTGGTACTGGACACAGATGGGCGCTCCTGGGAACTCTATCCCACGCATCGCTTGGACATGGAGGCCAACTCGGTTAGGTTCCTGGGCCGAGCAATTCACTTCCCTCATGGAGTCTCCCCTGAGACTGACTCCAGTTGCTGGTTTACAGTTGGTGTTATCTGTTCTGGAGGTAAGGGGGAGCGGGGGGGTGGTGGTGGTCGTATAGACAGATGGGTACATCTGGCAACTACACTGTATAGGAAGTACATTGAACACTATGCTGGGGGAGATATAGAGATGTTTAACTTTTACACAAGCAAGAGCAGAAGCCTGTAGTATATATTTTTTTTCCCTAATAACTAATACTACTGCTTTTACTCACATTTTAATTCCCTCTCATGTTATCAGGTGTGGAACCTTTTTTGGGGGTCATTTTGTGTGCGACAGTCCTCCTGATGGCTTTCTGCTTACTGGGACTTACCTACAGCATAAGGTAGAGCTCTCGGCCTGCTAAGCACCCCAGAGGACAGACTGGGAGGGTGTTTTTCGTTTGCCAGGCAAACGCTGAAGATGTCGGCCGGTCGACATTCGGAAAGAACTCATGGGTTCCTTTCCAGAAGCCTCGGCTCTCACCCCCCCCACCCCCCCGTCCTGTTTTCTCTCCAGGCGGCACGTCGGCCAGTTCAAAAGGCTCAGGGGTCCCGACAAGGTTTCGCTGCGGCTGGAAGACCTCACGTTCATCAGCCCGTTGCTAAGCAACAGAGTCAGTTTCGCCGTGTGACAGAGTGTCTGAGACACTGTCCTTCCAGCCAGAAGCAGCTCTCCTGCGTGGCACCTTATAGTCTCAGGAGATTAATCAGCTTGACAGGGCAGTGAGAACTGGTTACATAGACAGTTCTGGAGGGCATAGATCTAATGGAATCACTCCATCTGTTCCTTGTCTCCCTTGTGTTTTCCCTGTAAATTCAGTGCCCCTCCATTTACTGGTGATGTGTATGTCAGTTAAATGCATCTTCTGCCCTGCTATATATAGAAGAGCCGGGGCAACAGCAGGGCTAGTGAAATTCAGACGAGCGTGTCTGAAGCAGAACGGAGTCTGAGGTCCCCATATTCCACTGCCAGCCATTCCCCGGCCACCCTGGACAACTCTAATATTGCCATCTATGAGGTGGGTGTCGTGTTGTGGGATAAGCATGGTCATGTGGGTGGTGTCTGGGCGCTGCCTGGCCATATATGGGCTGCCTGTGATCTGAGGGTTACTGGGAAAAAGCCCTTAGAATACTCGTTCCACATGCATTGAGACAAGTCATGGACGAGAATAATTGTAATTAACGTCTTTCATGAATTATATTAATTACACTTTTGTGTTTGTAGGGGGACTGGACATGGTTAAAAAGGCTGCCTAATGGAAATTTCGGTGACATCAACCCAGCAACAAGTGATGTCTTTGAGCTGGTTGGTTTCCATTTTGTTTTTGTTTCGTTCTGCCTTTTGTGCTATACTGCCACACAAAGGCAGAAAGCCGTAACTGCATAATGAGTTAAGATCGAAATCGGGTCTCTTAGGCTTTGATTTATCTCATGATAAAATGTCTTCATATACGTGAGATTTTGAAGAAAACACTAATTTACCTACCTACCACGCATTTGAGTGGACAGTCATTTTTTCAGTTTCTGTCAGTGCAGTTACTGTGTTTTGCCTTTCTATGGCAGTATAATCAAGTAAATATAAATAATTTTTAAAAATATAAATAATATAGATAAATATTTTAAATCAAAGGCTTACCTGCCAGCAGGATTAACGATGGTTATGTCTAAAGAAAAGGTGATTGTACAGAAGAACTGCATCAGAATATTTAAAACCCTTGTTCCCATTTAATGAACCATTGATCTCACACGTATCTTTCTCACACTGGCTCACAATTTTATGAAATTCGGCTTTCATTATGAGAGGTAAAGTTACAGTTAGGTCTAGCTTCTGTACTGTTAAGCCAGATCAGGACCCTTAAATATCAGTGGATCATTTGCAGAAGTTGCATGGGTACCCCAAAAGAAGAAATGTTTTTTGAACCATGCGTCCTGGTCTTGCAGATGAAGGACATCCGGCATGAGAACATCAACCCATTCATAGGATTCTTCCATGACTGTGGCATCTTTGCCATTGTGACCGAGTTCTGTTCCCGGGGAAGCTTGGAGGACCTTCTCTATGCGGATGAAATTAATCTGGACTGGATGTTCATCTCATCACTCATGCTAGATCTCATCAAGGTGTGTTTGCTGTAGGGGTAGGAGGACTCTGCAGCCGAGTGCTGGACTGCTTTCACAAATTTCATCATCAGAACAGCTATAAAGTATCTTGATCTGTAACCATGGAAACCAGTGATCACATGAGGGACTATGTCATAAGTACAAATCCTGTAGAACTGGGGTGGCCAATCTTATCCGCAACGGGCCGGTGTGTGTGCAGGTTTTTGTGGTAACCTTTAGGTCAGCTGTTCAAACCCAGGTGTGAGGACTCTCTAGTCCTCTAATTAGTGAACTAATTAGGGAGTTGCAGTGAGAACCTGCATACACACTGGCCCTTTGCGGATAAGATTGGCCACCCCTGCTATAGAAGGAATCTCCTCACCTTCAGCCTAAACTGTGGTCTAAGGCACTGTTTTTCAACCCGGTCCTCGGGGGCCCCCAGATAGTCCACATTATTGCTCCCTCCCAGCTCCCGGGAGGGTCCAATACGTGAACTGTCTGAAGGGTCCCCAAGGACCGGTTTGGGAAACATTGATCTGAGGTAACAACAAGCAGTAGGTAGTTGAGTGATTAAGGTTTGGTCCAAGGGAGTTTTGTTTCACATTGCAGTAGATGACCTGGATAGTTCATGGTGTTTTTTATGAAATTGGGTCGCAGGGCATGAGGTACCTGCATCACAGGGGAATGTGTCATGGCCGGCTCAAGTCGCGCAACTGCGTGGTAGATGGACGCTTCGTGCTGAAGGTGACCGACTATGGCTGCCGTCAGGTGCTGGAGTCACAACGGTTTCCCTACATGGATCCACCTGCAGAGGGTAAGCAGAAGATACAATGTAGCGTTTTAGGGACAGTGTCCCATAGCAGAATCATGCTGTGATTGGGGAACATGAGGCTCTGAGACTTCAGGTGGGTGAGATTGTGAACTTGATGTTTTATTTTCAATTTGCATGAGTGCAGACACATTGAAACGCTTCCTTTCCCGTATTCCATCCTGTTCTCCTTTGATACATAAACATATATATATATATATATATATATGTTGAAAGCAAAGCTTGGGGTCTGAGCACAAGGTCAGGTTTGATGCTGCTAGAACATTTCGGCGTGATTAAGGGCCTTGATCAAGTGTCTGTTGTGTGTGACTATTACTATGTGGCTATTACTGTGTGACTATTCTGCCAAGGATGGGATTTGAGCCGGTGACCATTCAGTCATAACTACAGACCACTACCCTACCATGCATGATTACCATGCAGTGTCAGTGTGTGGTTTAGTGGGCTAAGTCTCTGTGTTCGGAAGGTTGCTGATTCAAGCCTGGCTTTGGCACACCTGCATGTCCTTGAGCAAGGCCCTTAACTCCCAGCTCCCTGGGGTGCTGCTCTGAGTAGCTGCCCTTTGGGGCCAACTTGCTGTCACCTGCAGAGAGAAAGTTGGGGTAGGTGTAAAGAGAATTTACCCATGGGGATCAATAAAGTTTCTCTTATTATTATTATTATTATTATTATTATTATTATTATTATTATGAAACCCAATGGGAATCAATAAATGAATGAGCAGGAAGTGGGGTCAGGCTGTCAGTAACTGACGTTGCTTACAGATCCCATCTTTCTTGGGCGGTGAAGCCTTGTCTGTTCTTTTACTAAAGGCAGCAGCGTTTGATTGTGTCTGTGAACATTTCTACACATCAGTCTGTCCCTCTGACTTTGCACGTGTGTGCAGAGCTGCTGTGGACGGCCCCAGAGATCCTACGGGGCCCGACCCCGGGCCTGACCAGCTCCAAGCAAGGCGACGTCTACAGCTTCTCCATCATCCTGCAGGAGGTGGTGATGCGTGGGCCCCCGTTCTGCATGCTGGATCAATCTGCCCAAGGTGTGTCCCACTTGGGAGCCTCACTCGCCTGTGTCCGCAGTGAGGCACCTAAGCACGTGTTCGTGTACCTGTACACAGCAGCGAACACTTGAGGCCGATGAGTACATGCAGATATCTAAATGCACCACGGCTAAGGTGGGAACGCGAAGCAGGGCTGGAAGCCTGACTCTGAGCATCATCTCTCTCCTGCCTGCTAGACATCATCCAGCAGCTCCGTAAGCCGCCACCCCTGTGCCGGCCCATGGTCCTATCAGACTCCACCCCCTCCGAGTGCATTAAGCTCATGGAGCAGTGCTGGGTTGAGCAGCCCGATCGGAGACCCACTTTTGACCAGATCTTCAAGCAGGTGACTCCACTGGCTCAATTTATGTGCAGATTCCGTTTTCCTCCACATTGTAGCCAGCAGTGGTACCACCACTGAAATCAGCCTTTCTGTGTGGATCTTGGAGTAGAGAAAATGAAGGGGATTATGGGAAGGTGGAGCTCTTCAAGACCCAGTCAATGAAGGTCACCAGTGGTGGTACAGTGGTTAGCACTGTCAAGTGGTCAAGACAGATTATAGAGGAGGTGAGTCCAAGCAACTAGAGGAGATGGAACAAACCAATTAGATGTCTTGGTCCTGTCTCCTCTAGTTGCTTGGACCCACCTTCTCTGCTGAACTGATCATTTTTCGTTCTGCCCTTAGAACATTGTTGTGTAAGTAAAACTCTCACAAGCTGGCTCTGTGTGTCTGAGCTCTCCCCATGTCATTGTGGGGTTTTCTCTGGTTCCTCTTCCCTTCTTCCCCCACCTCACCCCACCCCATACACTCCAGAAACATGGTAAGGTGAATTGGAGTTGCCACATTACCCGTGTGAGTGGTGCACATGCTCTGAGATGGGTTATTCCCTGCTTTATACCCATAGCTTCTGGAATAGGCTCTGGACCCCCACAACCATGCATGAGACAAGCGTGTATGGAAAATTAATTGATTGACGTAAATAAACCTTTTTTTGACACTCATTTGGAGTTTAAGGCAGGATTTGGATTGAATTGGGGGGCGGTGTATGGCTGTTAAGCTGTTGTGCCTGTGAACAGAAGGTTGCTGGTTCAAATCCCAGAGTGATTTCACCATTGAGCCCATGAGAAGGCCCTTAATCCCCAATTGCTCCATGGACTGTCAGATCCTGCTTTCAATTGTACGTCGCTTTGTATAAAAGTGTTTGCTAAACAAAGAAATCGTAAATAGAACTGAGAGATTATTTGTGGGATAATCCCCAGGAATTCTTTTTGTTTATCATCTGCTTCTTGGTTATTATATATTATTTATGCAAAGGGCTATACAGGGCTAAGCACTGCAAATCAAAATGTCAACTTTTTCCTGCAATGTGAACCATGCCTCGTCTGTTCCTGCATGTGCTCAGTGCATCTGTATATGTTTGCACTAGTTCAAAAACATCAACAAAGGGAAGAAGATCAACATCATCGACTCCATGCTACGCATGCTGGAGCGGTACTCCAGCAACCTGGAGGAGCTGATCCGGGAACGGACGGAGGAGCTGGAGGTGGAGAAGCACAGGACGGAGAAGCTGCTCACTCAGATGCTTCCACCGTACGAAGCATATATGTGCAGATGAAGTGTGAATGCATACACATGCTCATGGCATGCACATGCACCCCTATGTGCAAACACACATACAACCACATACTTAAAATGCAGTAATACATACACCACTGGTGCAGAATACTTGCATGCATTTGAACATACACCAGTGGTGTATGTATTACTGCATTTTAAGTTTGTGGTTGTATGACACTACAGTCACCCAAGCACGTAACTCCCGTATGATGAACTGACGTTGACATATATAGCCATGGAAAAAATGAAGAGACAAATTTTTATTTATTTTTTTAAACAATGTTTTTATTTAATTTATTTACAAAATAACAAATCAAAACAGAGGGTTATATCCATCCGTATATATGCATGTATGTATATACAAGTACATAGGTATATACATACCCATTTTCACACAGATATAAAAAATCAGCATGGATACTGTGCAATATAAAACATTTCAATGTTCATCTCCCCGAAACCCACCCATACCTCTCTTTTGGCAGTCCTATACCTATAACAAACAGAATCCTATACCTATAACAGAATCCTATACGTATAACAAACATAACCATACATTTATTTTTTAACATGCCACGTTTAACAGAAATGAGAAAAATAAGTACCTCAATTTTCCAAAATTACATGACCGTAACAAATAAAAATGCTCCAACTTTCTTTACTGGGTCTACCATTATTATATTTGTCTTGAGAAGCTCTCCTATTTTAATGTTTTTTAGAAAATCATTAAATGGCTTCCAGATTCCATCATATAGGTCCAATTTGTTATTTAGCCTTTGAGTAATTCTTTCCATTGACATACATTGTGCCATATTTTGAGTCCGTGCTTTAATTGTGGGACTTTCTATTTTCTTCCAATTAAACATTAAACATTTTTATTTCACTCATATCTCAAAATTTGTTTGCAAACTGCAGCCTGGTTCTACACTATTTGTTATTAATGAAGGGCTTCTTCCTTACTTTATGGGACTTCAGTCCTGCTTCTAAGAAGTTAATGGTCTTCTCTGGCATTAGAAAGCCGCTTCCGTCCTTAACCTGGCTGATTTCTGGTTGTTCCCAGTGTCTCCTGCTTCACCTTATTCTTGTGTACTGCCTTCTTAGAAATTTTGAACCTGCAAGCAACTTGCTGCTCAGTGTAGCCTTCAGCCAGCAGGTCCACGATCAAACCAGGATTTAAAAATGCAGATTTAAAAAAAAATATAGTGTCTTTTAATTTTTTCCATGGCTGTATATGTGCAGAGGCAAATGTGCAAGTACAGATATAAACACACATGGTCATATGCATTGGAAAAAAACAATTATGATGAAGGTGGCTAGGCAGTTTTTAACCTCAGCATCCTTTGCTCTCTGAGGTCCGTGGCAAAGGCCCTGAAACTGGGCTGCACGGTGGAGCCAGAGTGCTTCGATAACGTGACGGTGTACTTCAGCGACATCGTGGGCTTCACTGCCATCTCCGCCAGCTGTGAGCCCATGGAGGTGGTGAATTTGCTCAACGATCTGTACACTTTGTTCGACGCTGTCATTGAGAACCACGACGTCTACAAGGTATGGGCTCTGTGCCTCACTTGCAGCCTGTATTTTTGGACACGCGTGTCCTGGCAGAACCACCACTAACAGGACATTCAGAAGGGCAACCTCAGTTTGTGCTGAATTCTGCTTTGAGACATGGATGTGGTGTCCAGGTCATGTGTGGAGCTCAGTCAGCACGATTCCTTTGTCTGGTAATTCTGCCACAATTCCTGCCCCTTTTGTGTTCTTACATTTAGCTTGTTTGCATGATGTGAGCATTATGAAAGAATCACAAAGAATCAGGTTGTAGATGGTGGGTGCGCTTTACCTTATTTACAGACAGGTGCAGGAAAATGCCCCAATCTGTCGATCTCCCTGGTGGAGTGAAGGGTAGTCGGCCTTGTAGCTTCCAATTTCTGGCTTTCACCACACGGCGTCATACTTTTTTCTTAATGAGGACCCATCTCTTCCCAGTACTAAGGTGTCTTGATCTCTTGTTGGTGATTCTGAAGCTAAGGATTTATTGATGTGGGTGGGGTAGCAAGCCCCATGCCCAGCAACTCCTCCGGGCTTTGGACGGTCCATGGCGGAGTTGGCCCAATCTGTTAGACATCAAGAAATGAGAATGACCATGATACAAATTATAAGAACGGAAACAGCTTTTGTTCCCGTATCAAAAATAACTCAGTGCCAGGGCAAATTAATAGAAGATTTGCAATTTAACAAAAACCAGAGCAAAGTGCACTGCTCAGTGCTGGAGAGTCTGTTCAGGATCTTAGATTGTCAGGTTCAGACCTTCGGTGCCAAACAGAGCACTTGTTTCAAGCATGGATCGTCTGGGAATGGTGTGGCTCCGCCATGGTCCCCTAAACATCAAAAAAACAAATAGCATGTTTCAGATATAGGAAATTTGCTTGTGTATTTAGCAGAGGCTTCTATCCAAAGTGGCGGACATTTTGAGAAAGCGGGGCAGACAATTCTTGGAGCAGTAGGAGCCGTATTCAAGGGCCCAACAGTAAAATCTCCCTTCCAGCTCTGGGACTTGAATCGGCAACGTTCCGATCACGGGCACAGCGTTCTATAATACTGATCCTCAAACCACCCCCTACATGTACAAACCGAAATACAAAACTGCACATTATTTGATAATTATATTGATCACTGTCTCACTGCCTTCTCCATACCATGACTTGGTACTGCAGTAATTACACACGTGGTCATCAGTTCGTCACCGTGATCATGCCCTACGCTGCGGCCTGTCCCAGGTGGAGACCATCGGTGACGCCTATATGGTGGCATCGGGGTTGCCCGTTCGTAACGGCAACCGGCATGCGGCCGAGATCGCCAACATGGCCCTGGACATCCTGAACGCAATGGGCAACTTCAAGATGAGGCACACGCCACACCCGCCGGTGTACAGCCGCATCGGACTGCATTCGGGTCAGAACAGCACCCCTGCTAACACATTGCTGGTGGTATTTAAAACACTGTCAAATTTTTATAGTCCTGTACCTTTAAATGAAGATAACATTTTTATCTAAATAATGTTATTCTAAACAGTTGATTTGATTGAATTTAATTTAACATCATAATCTAGCCTTTGGATTATAATGTCAAATGATCTATGTTTTGCGTGTTTATAACAATGTGGGTGCATGTGTGCATCCCTATCTCTGCATGCATATGGTGGCTGTAGGGCCCTGTGTGGCAGGGGTTGTTGGACTAACGATGCCCCGGTATTGCCTCTTTGGAAACACAGTTAACATTGCATCCCTCATGGAGGCCACAGGCATGTGTAAGTTCAACGTGTTCACTTTTTGGCCCCCAGGGGGAGCTATTGAGGCATGCTCTCAATGATTTTTACATATGGTCTGAAAAGATTTCTCACGACTGAGAACATGCAGACAGACATACAACTATTGCACCAATCAATTTGTAGATTTAAAACATTAACAGGGAAACTGGTTGAAATCACATTTTGGTACCTGTTAAACATTTTCTTGATTAATCACCCATCGACTGAAAGTAGAAATTGCACAGTTCAAACCTTGCGATCTTGCTTTGCAGCGCACCGCATCCACATTAGCCACAGCACAGTGCAGCTCCTGCAGGAGCTGAACAGTGGGTACCGGGTACAACTGCGGGAGATGCCTGAAGTCCTGAAGGTTAGCATCGGCTAATGCTAATGTTGCCAGTCACACATCCCACCCTACTGACAGGTGGCTACGTGTGCGTCTCTTTTTGCTAAAAGGCAGGTACATATGTGGAACTTTCACTGTTCCTTGCAGAGGTAACGTCCTTCTGGCTTTCATAGCCAGCCTGGGGCCCTCTTCCTTACTCTTGGTTTATGACTTCTGCAGGACACGGGATTGAAGAACACCTACTGGCTGATCGGCAGGGACGGCTTCACTAAGCCGCTGCCCCTCCCACTCGAGGCCCGGTGAGCAGCACATGGCATTCTCTCCCTCCCTGTCCTCTGTCTGTCCTTTTTTCTGGGACCCCGTTGTTCATTTCAGAGAAGCTAATGGCCTGCAGATGGAGGAAACAGCCCAGTGCCCACAGTGGAAAGCTTGTAAAAACTCACCACAAACAATAAGTGGGTTGGTGTCGTCTCTGTTAGATGTGGAACGTTGCATGTTGGCAGCTGTGCTGTCATCCTCTGGATGGTTGTCGGCTCTTGTTTTTGTTTGGTGATACATTTGAGATTAATTCTCTTATCAGTCAGCAAAATTCTGGTTACACAGCATTCTTCTTGGCATAAATATGAATGACCTGTAACTGTCCTCATAATCCTCTAAAAATGTCAAATATCACATTTCTTAATGATAATATTTTACTGTACTAAAGTTATAAGTTGCATTGTGCATCGTGAATTAGGTTTCAAATCTTCCTTAGTTAACATAATAAAGATAAAACCTGAGCTTGAAATGGTAACGTTGCACTTAAAATCCCCTGCTGAATCCCAGTCATGAAGCAGATTGTTAGTACGACAGCAAATTCTTCGGGACCACTAAGTGTTTACTGGCTGGTTTATTTGTTTCCCGCTGCATTGGATGTTATATGAGGCCGAGGTCACAGAACATATGTAACCCTGCTGCAATGCTGATGTCACACTTTGGAATTCCAGCAAGAGTCTGACTGGTTCCCATAAGCTGAGGACTTGGGTCTTTTAGTTTAGTAGACTAATCTTTTTTCCTGCTCAGTGGTGCTCCTTTGTGGTTCAGTCCCTGGCTAGGACCATGCCTCTTAGATATATAGATCAGGGTTGCTTTGGTGTGTTCTTTCTCTTGGAATATTGCTGGTTTTTGTTTGTCCACAGCATACGTTTATTTATTTTTTTATTTAGAAAATATTCCTAAGTTCCATAAAACAGTAAAGCATGGTGTGCATGGTTATATTGGGATCCTTTAGCTCAATAAGTAGAGCATTATGCTAACAGGATGAAGGTTGTGGGTTTGAATCTTGGGGAGCTTCAAAAAAATGTTATTTGCAGGGATATAACTTCATTCTAAAACTGGGAGGAAAGTCATAAAAAACTAAATACAATTAATTCACTGTATCAGTCTCCAGTAACATTGTTTTTCTGTTCTCTGCAGACCAGAGACAAAGGACTTCAAGTTGCTCCTCAAGAGGACGGTGAAGAGACTCTCCCACGTGAGGCACGTCACTCAAATAACCACAGCGGACGAGGGCAACGTGATGATACACCACCACAGAGCCTCAAGAGCAGGATCGAGCCATACTGTGACGACTGGGGATGAACAAGCCCGGGGTGGACTCGTGTGACAGAGTTTGGACAGAGAAAACGACCGACCACTGCACGCCTGCTTTTGGGTTGAGTTGTGGGTGGAATTATCTAGAATACTCAAGGCAGCTTGCCAGCAGAGACTGGAAATGAAGGGAGAAGCAGAGTACCGGCTGAGATTAGATGCTCCTGTTCATTATGAATCACCTTGCAGGATGATGTGGTAATTTAGAGGAAGGTGGGGTGCATTACTCAGACCTGGGGGGGTCGGCCTAACTTTCAGAAAACAAAGCCGGCCGTGTCTGTTCCTGCAGCAGAGCACATCCTGTTGGGAGTGTCCTCGCTACAGTTCTTACCTCTGAAACACCTCAGGCTCACCTGTGGTTTTTAGTTCTGGACCTCAGATAAACACAAGGCCTGTAGGCACAGCAACATGTGTGTCTGTGTGAATTATGTACTGCTGTTATCTTTATTCATTTTATAAACACAAGTGGGTGTGTGCGTGTATTATATACATATATTTCATGTACTGTACATATAATATTTTAAACAGAACATAGCCTGTATTTGTCAGGCATTCACACGACTAATGGACAAAATGAGTTCTGCTTTGGATCACACTGATGTGAAAGTCTTGTTTATTTAGCTGGTAAAGAATCAGTTTTTTTCCCATTTAATATATGTACTGTATATTTTTGACATTTCAGTAAATGTGGTTTTGACTACCTGATGTCTGTGCTGGTGAAGTCACTTAAATTTTAATCTGCAGAATTTGGGATTCGCTTTAAAAAAGGCATGTATTCATCACGTAATAATTTTCATGTTCATTAATCCACACTCATCCCACATAGGGTATGCCTCGTTACCACGCCCTGTGCGGTCTGGGATAGGCTCCAGGCCCCTTGTGACCCTACCCAGGATACACAGTTTGAAGATGAAAGGAGAGATGAATGTTCTCTGCAGAAAAACATGTTGGAAAAATTCTTATCGCTTTCTTAGACTTTGCTGTTTGCCTTATCATTTCCATGCTTTTGCCATCACAGGAAAAACAACAGCACCCTCTAATGTGTGAAAGTGTATTTGCAAAGGATTCTTGTCTGCTCCTGAATTACCTACCACAGAGTTATTAAGAACGTAGACAGTGGCGGTCCCTTTAAAGTGCATAATTTAATCTTTTAACCTTCTGGCTACTTCATTCACATGGAATGCAGAGACTGCCTCAACATGTAGGAATGTACCCAAATACCTGACCACTGCTGGCAGATTAGCGTTTTTATATATGTGAACTTTATTGCAACATTTTGGGTGTAACTGTTTGTAATTTCATGTGCCTGAATTTCATTTGAAGATGGATTTCACATAATATAATATAACCTGCGATACAAATAATCAGTTCTATTGACTGAGTTTGGTTTTGGCTTACCATTCTGAAATATACCAATTATAACACTCATTTAGCCACTTGAATAGAATCTTCTAGTTCAATGTGACCATCAGTAAGTGTGCAAAATGTCACCCATCCATCCGAGGTTGGCAGCATGAGCGGCCATTCACGAGTCATGCTTCCCCAAACGCCACCCATCAAGGACACCATCTTTTTAAATTTTATTCTTTAATAAAGGCGTTCATCATAAAACAAATAAGCCCGGTCTCTCCCGGGGGCGTGGCTATATTTAGTCTGCTTGCCCAATGCCCTCTCCCGATTGGCAACTTTTACCGTAACCGCCCTGTCAGTTTTGTTCTGGTACTGGCACTGCACGCATCTTCCTTAACTGGTGACTGTAGATCATACCCCCAAGAACCACAGGGCACAATGCGGGGGCAACCTTGGATGAGGCACCAGTCCAGTGCATGGCACACCAACACATAGTCACAATCTATGGGCAATTTAGGTACCAAATCCTTTGTTATGTTTTTGGACTCCAGGAGGGAACCAGCACACTGGGAAGCGATCTCACATACATGACACAGCAGGGAAGAGTGCTGAACCCACAACACTCACAAGCATCAGTTTAATATAAAAACCTTACTGAGTTTACTTGTCTAAACCAAATTCCAAATAAAAAGTTCTTCATATCAAGTCGAATACTTACAAATCTGTAAAAAATCGAATTATTCTTACTCAATTAAGTTATATATGTAATCAGACCAAGATGAGCATTTTTTGTGACATTCCATTCTATAGATGATACTAATTGTGTTGTTTGGATTAAAGTGAGATCTCTTTTAACCACTTCCAAGATCATATCACCCAACTGGAATTAGGCGAAACAAAGGGTGACGCCTCTGTAATGCACTTTAATGCACAAATGGATATGCCGAGGTATGGCGTGTCCTTGTTGAGGGAACTTTAAAATCCATTTTCTACAAGATAACTTTGTTTCGGTGTCTGCATTTGTTACCTCATAGAAAATTATGCCACAAGAGTATTAATATAAGAGGAAGGGAGTCTCAGAGAGGAAATGTTAAAGGAATGCGGCGGAAAATCAATGGATAAATGTACATTTCTTGAGACATTTTCCAGGTTTGTTCATGCCGTGTCAATAACTGACATCCAGACCTACAGCTGACCAACCCTCACGCTACCTATACTTCTTTCAAACCGCCAGGTTTGATTCCCGTCTGATGCTGCCTTACCAACCGGTTTCTCGTGTATCAATCACTTATAGGGGGAACATATATACAAAAACTGTCACTGTATAGCTGACATGGGATACTTTGCTTAACTTTAATTCCCCATACTGCACAATTTAGACAAGAAACAGAACTAAACGTAGTGCCTTTATCAGTTTTATTAACTAGTTAGATTTCTTGTTTACTGCCAAATACAGTGTATTTCATGGCACAAAAATAATGGCATTACGCCCGCAAACCAGTGGAATTGTGAGGTGTCAGTTACTCAGTTAAGTATTCATCATATTCATCATACCATTATTAATGATTAGCAGTTCGAAGAAAATTCTGCTAGTTCTGCAACAGGTTGGCTAGTTGTAACATACATTAAAGTATACAGCTGACGGACTGTATATAACGAACATACCGGTGCAGCATGCAATGGTCTCGAGCTGTCGAGTACTGAACCATCAACAAACTTATACAACTCGCAAACTACCTCATACTACTCAGTAAAGGACGCTTAATTTACCACTAACATAAAGGAACAAACCTCTTTTCTCTCCATCCCTACCTGCACGAAACCCCGAGTAATAGCATCGCTCGACCGAACTAACGGGAAAGGTAATAACCCTGGTGGATTGGATTGTGCGACTGTCAGTCATCAGTAATAGCCAATAGAAATGCGCAAACGTCCGGCGATGTATAGGTCACGTGTTGTTTTTGCTGTGGTCTATAGAGATGTGTCCCGAAAGGGGGAGAGCGGCGCTGCATTAGCTGGCTAGCGGGTTAGGCTGTTCGCAGAGACGGGCCAGTGCGGCTATGTAGCGACCGCCGAATTGTTTTTGTGGCGCTCGCGTGTCTGTATTCCAGGGGGAGACTAGGGAGAACCACCGGAAGGGGCAAAGAACACCCAGGGATCTCTGTTTTATTTGGAAGCATGGGGTCTGCATCAATAAAACTGAGGTAAAGTGACCTTTATTAGCGTTCGCTCATGGCCAGTTTGATGAATTACCAGGACGGCAACGCCGCTATGTTGATGCTGGAGACACAGCAGCGCGCAATCGGGACAAAAACGGCGGCGGCTAACGGCGACACCTCTAGCGGCGAGCCCCCCTCGTCCCTAATCAATCTCGGCGGCGCTCGCTTTCACCAACATTTGCCGCCCTCGTATGAACAGACTATCCAGTCCAGGGAACGGCATCAGCAGGCAAATCACTTCCAGTCGCAGCAACAGTGTCCGGGGGAGGCGGCGGCAGCGGCGGGGGCTCCGGTGAGAAAGCCGTCTTCCTCCAGCCTGAACCTGGCGCATGAAGATGCCGCCGCGCTCGCGGCTTCAGCCGCTCCTGCGCTCCCCGCCGCCGGTTCGGACGGGGCGGATGACATTCGGAAATGCGGCTATATGAGGAAGCAGAAGCATGGCCACAAGCGTTTTTTTGTTTTACGAGGGGCAAGTCATTTGGGCCACAGCCGACTGGAATACTATGACAGCGAGAAGAAATTTCGAAACAGCCTTCGCTTTGCTGCTGCTGGTGGTGCCGCTGCTGCGGCGTCTCCACCCAAGCGGATCATCTGTCTTTACCAGTGCTTTACTGTAAACAAAAGGGCGGACTCCAAGCACAAATACCTCATTGCCCTGTACACTAAGGATGATTATTTTGCCATAGTGGCAGAGAATGAGCGTGAGCAGGAGGAATGGTACCAGGCCCTGAGTGACCTGATGAACGAGAGCAAGAGGGGTCACCTGGATGCAGACGATCTGGAGGACATGTATGGCGCGGTCTCCCCGGTCACCGTCTTCAAGGAGGTGTGGCAGGTGAACGTGAAGCCCAAAGGACTGGGGCAGACCAAGAATCTGACCGGTGTGTACCGGCTGTGCCTGTCCTCTAAGACCCTCCATCTGGTGAAGCTGAATTCCGAGACGCCCTCTGTGAGCCTGCAGCTGATGAACATCCGCCGCTGTGGTCATTCTGAGAGCTTCTTCTTCATCGAGGTGGGTCGTTCATCCTCCACAGGGCCTGGGGAGATATGGATGCAGGTGGAGGACTCTGTGGTCGCTCAGAGCATGCATGAGACCATCCTCGAAACGATGAAGGCACTGAAGGCCTTTGTGGATTTCAGGCCCCGGAGCAAGAGTCAGTCATCGGGCTCGAATCCTGTAGCTTTCATCACCACCCGCCGGCACCTGGGCAACCTACCACCCAGCCAGACAGGGCTGCAGCGCCGATCTCGTACTGAGAGTGTGGTGGGCACCCCGTCCAGCTGCAAGGGTGGCAGCGCCTATCGATTTCGCACGTCCAGTGAGGGGGAGGGCACCATGAGCCGGCCCTTCCGCTCGGCAACAGGCAGCCTGATCCACCTGAATATGAGCCGCGGCAGCTTGGGCCGGCAGGATGGCACTGGCCGCTATTCGCGGGCCCCTTCTGGTTCCTCCTATCACATGCGCTCTGCCTCGCTCCCCGTTTCCCATTTCTCATATGCCACCAGCCCTGTCAGCGTGTCCAGCAGTAGTGGCCATGGTTCGGCCTCCGACACACTCACACAGCCCTCCAGCGCCTCCCTCTGCGGCTCCCCCAGCGATGGCGGCTTTAACTCCTCTGACGAGTACGGCTCCAGCCCTGGGGACCTGCGTTACATCAGAGTTCGCAGCGGCACTCCGGATTCCCTTAGTAACACGCCGCCCATCCGCGAGGAGAGCTGCCTGAGCGAGTATATGGCCATGTATCGGTACCGTGAGACGTGGGGAGGCCCTGAGACCACACGGGATGAGAGCTGTGATGAGGAGAAGGTATCATGGAAACAGGGCCACGCGTCCAGGCCAACAGGAGCTGGTGTCACTGTGTTCCAGAAGACGACTCAGACCACCTCTTTGCCGGAAGAATCCGCGGTGGCGCCGGCAGCCAGCCCTCTGGGGAGCAACGGTTCAGCTTTCCTTAAGTCGGGCTTCAGCTGCTATGCCGAGCAGCCCTGCTCGGCCAAGTCCTCGCTCTGCCCTGACCAGCACAGGATCCCCCCCAGGGATGACGGTTACATGCCCATGATGCCGGGTGTGGTGCCCTCACAAGAGGACAACTATGTGCCTATGCAACCCAGCCCACGTCACCCCCTTCCTTCCCAGGTTCAAGCTACAGAGCAGACCCCCCCTCAGCAGCTGGAGACCCAGGGTTATATGATGATGCTCCCTGGGACCGGTGACCACCCGCAGAGTGGCGAGTACATGGACATGTCCCACAGTTTCCTCCCAGCGTCCAGCCATCGCTTGAGCAGAGGCTGTCACACGCAGACCCTCCCCAAGAGCCCCAGGCCCTACAGTCCCTACTCTTCGCTGCCGCGATCCTACAAGGCCCCCATAAGGGAGAGCCATGAGCGTGACGAATACGTTCGCATGAGGTCTCCCGCTAAGCACCCTGCGGCTGAATGTGGCCCAAGCAGTCCGCCTGATGAACCCCCCAGCCCCCTCGGTTCCAACGGGCAATCCAGTTCGGACAGATGGGGGCCACGGCCCAGTCGTCTCCCTTTGGACCGGCATGACCGCTGTGGTGCCCCCGGGGGGAGGGAGGCCAGGAATCCCCCATCCAGTCCAGGGGAGAACATCAACGTGGAGTTTGGGAACCGCCCGGCTGAGAGCTCAGTTTTCTCGCCGGAATGTGCAGGTGATGACTACATGAGCCTGGAAGCAGATGAGCAGCCACCTAAGGCTCGTTCCCCGCGGCCCTCACTCGTAGCACCATGGAACCCCCCCAGCTATATCCGACCCCAGGCCGGTGGAGCCCCAGCAGACGGCTACGTGGAGGTGAGCCTCGGCACTGGAACAAGGAGCCCATCAGGAATGCTGCGTCAGCTGTCTGTGGCGGAGCAGTCAGAGCCCCTGAGCCGATGCCGGTGCAGCTCTGAGGCCCTGCTGCCATCCAACAGCTCTGCCCAGGCACCTGCCAGCCTTTACCAGCTGGATGATGCCAAATGGCTGGGCTCCTCCACTTTCGACAGCGTCTGGCCTCACGTCGAGGGCGTGACTTCCCCTGGTGCCGCCACCCTGCCCGTCCCCACCAACGTAGCCTGTAACCCCAACCATCCCACGTGTCATGAGGGCCCCAACCCCCGGGACGATCTCAACTACATCGCGCTAGACTTAAGGCAAGACCGCTGGTCTGGTCATGAGGCCTCCTCACCGGCCCCATCCACGCCCCCCACCACACTTCCACTCTCCGAAAACAGCACCTACCCCGGCCTGGACTTTGCCAGGGTCGACAGACTGAGGTCTGCCTCGCAAGGTTGGTGCTCACTTTTTAACAGCCTTCTGATTCTAGTGTCCTTATTTTTCTAGTCCATGTGCGTTTAGTAATCTGGTATAAACCAGGCCGCTAGTGCCCGTTTTTTAAACTTTCATTGTTTACTTTAAATGGTTGGGGTGCAGACATGCTTCATTCAGTCCAGATGTTGCCTGCTGTCTGTGTTTAAATCAGCCTGGTCACTTTGCCATCATCAGCTGGGTAAAGCTTTTCTACCTCCATCTGCTTGCCCCAGCCCTCTTTTGCACTCAGTTGTGGCACTGAGAACACAAACGGTTGCTCAGTGCCAGGTGCTCCAGCAGGAGGGTGGCAACTTGGAACTAAGAGCTCCTCGCTCTTGTGACCCAGGGATGGACAAGTGTCCACCAGATTTAAATGAAGGCAGCTGAAACTAGGAGCTCCTTTTCAGGGAACACCTGAGTCATATTAGCTTCTTGACAACAGCTCATAGTGTTTTTAATAGGATTCTATATGATCTCTTTCAGTTATGGTTTTTGCTGTTCCACTATGCTGTCACGGAATGTGTGGGTCGGTTTGATTCAGAGTTTGCGGTACTGGGTGATCCAGGCTTCCTAGCCTCCTCATTCCATGTACCTGATGCTGTGCTGAACTTTAATTTTCCACAAATTGCTGATTCACAGAAAATAGTCTAGTCCAGGGTCAGTTAAAACCAGAGAGCTATTAAACCTTTTTGATTATCAAATACCTGCCGAATGACTGTGCTCCCAGCACGGTTACCCCCTCCGGAACCATGGCTGTGTGACTGTTCCGTACCACGAAACTTTAGACATCTGGCATGAGCAATGGGCACTGATACCTGCTGTTGTATGACCAGGTTCAAAGTACCAATACCCACTGAATGGCTGGCTCTGGGTGTACAATGTATGACTTGGCTGGCAAGCACTGCCACTCAGGCTGTAAAGTTAGACTGTGTTTCATAAGCTCCTTATTGCTGCCTCTTAGGAATGTCGTAATGTGCCCTTGAAAAACCCCTTTATGGCCTAAATTAACTTGTGTATGTGTGGGGGGGCAGCTTATGGGCGTGTACCCTGTCTGTATGCTGCCTCTTGCAGATGTGTGTTTCTCCTCCAGTCTGTTCCCCCTCCTTATATGAAACCCCCGCACCTGTCCCATTTTGGTACTCCTTTGCCCCTCAAAAGCCCCCCCCCCCCTCCGAAGACTACATTGCCCCTCCACCGCCCCTTGTCTGCCTCTGCCTGTCTGGATCCCTGCTCCCTTTGCAGGATTGCACGCGGCCGACCAGGGATGAGGTGAAAGTGAGTCAGTGTTCACGGCAAGCTCCGTCTGACTCATTTGTTTATCACAGTGCTCAAGCAAAGATTGTATGTGTGTGTCTGTGTGTGTGTGTGTGTGTGCGCGCGTGTGTGTGGATTTTCAGCTCTTCCTGATGCTGTTTTGCTGTCACAAAACTCTTATCTAAAGTGAAAAAACACAGATTCCCCCCCCCCAGTCATCCTGCTTAGAACTTTGCCCAATGTGTTTTTGAATTCAGGTGTTTGGGCTTATGGACTGTGTTAAAATGGAAGTCAGAGTGAAGTCCTCACATGCAGCTGTGTGTGTTTCTCACACCACTGCCACTGTTGGTACATGGCTGTGCTCAGCTATCCTCCATCAGTCCTTATTAACCACAGACAGAAAAGGGGGAGGGGGGTGTTAGTCCTTCATGTATGTGTGTTACATCATTGGGGGAGTGTGGATTTTGCTTTCTGTTGCTTTTTGTTAAATCATAAAGATTGCAAACATATATAATGGGGATCCTGCATCAGAGTCTTATTATTGTAGAATTGAATGAGTCATATCTGTCTTTTTTGTGCCTGCCCTTATCCATTCAAAAAATTATATCATTTGAACATGCTGGTTAATATGAATGTTTTTGACTAAAAAGATGGATTACATGTGTCAGGTAGAAGAAGGCTGGTTAGTGTTACTTGTTTGTTTCTGTAGTTTTGACATATGACCCATTTCTGGGTATTGTTTGTGTAGATAGGGCCGGGTTTGTTCTCTGGGCTTGTGGACAAACCTGGGCGTGTGTCGCCACGCCGTTGCCCCGTTTCTGCGCCGTTTTGGCGCCTGCCTGGCAACGCCTGCTGGGACACGTGTGCCATGACGGAAAGATGGTGTCAGTGCAGAGGCATCCCAGTCCTACAGCGCTCGCTCCACCCTGCCCAGTGCCCCAGCGTGACGGCCGCTCGCCGCCGCCTCGCGGCCGGCCCCGGGAGAGCAGCTGGCGAGAGATGATGGCGCCCACACCGAGCCCTAGTCGCCTTTTAACCCGGATAGTCGTGTTTGTCATCATATTCGTGCAATGAAGTTTCTCGCATGCCTCCTGCAGACAGTCATTTAACAAAGTAAAGTAAAAAGTCCAGTGGCCTGTACTACGAAGCGGGGTTACTGGCTTATCGGGGTAACTTGTTGGATTTAAGGTAGTCTGGGCAAAATGTAAGTGAGCGAATATGAAGTCCATTTAAACTGTGGTACCTTAAATCTGACAAGTTACCCCGATAAGCCAGTAACCCCGCTTCGTAGTACAGGCCACAGGTATCTCTATTGTCATCTTAAGCTATCGATACATGGGTCGTTCACTGACATTTCCGTCTTGTTGGTCTTAGTGCAAGAAACAAATGGAGTATAAATATTTAAGACATTTAATATGACACATTGAAACCTGGGCATAAGACGTAGAAAGAAAATAGTTTAATAATAATAACTATGACTACTAGCATTAGACAATAACCAAATGCTAAAAAACAATTAGATGAGTTCAGTGTTGCTTAGTTAGAGCGAACATTTCCTAGAGGCCTTAAACATTGTATTTACTGGCTGTTGTAGTAGCCTTATGGCTGGCAGGTAGAAGCTATTTCTCATCCTTCTGTTCTGAGTCCTGATGTCCTTGGTGTTGTCTGACATTCCCAGGCAGGGTGTGGTGAAGATGTTTTAAAGTGGAGGTAGATGTTTCCTGGTGATGGCTTGAGCAGGCCTTGCTACTTTCTGCAGTGCTGTATAATTTACTGGAGGAATTTTGGGTCAAGTACTTTCCTCAAGGGTTCAATGGAAGAGTCCCCTCAGGTCATCAGGCATCCAAAAGCCTCTGTACCATTAACTGTTTGTACCTACAAGACTTGGAGGAGTGTAGGGTGGTCTCAACATGACATACCTGAGAAAGACCTGATGGACTCCTGTAGGCTGGGGCCCAGCTAAGATATTCACTGGTTTAGTCTGGTCCAATCCAGCATCCTGGTGCCTGCATCAGATTTGGGAATGGTAGCAGGTGGAAGAAGGAAAACAAATAGCAGGTCAAAGTTTACTGGTAATGCTTTACTGAAATCTGTTTATTTGTGGTCACTTATTTGCAGATTGCGTAGATATATGAATAAGTGTCTCTAAATTGCCCATAGTAAGTGATTATGAAAATTTAGGTCTATCAGTGGACTGGCATCGCATTCAGGTTGACCCTGTCCTTGTTTGGAATTCCTTCTTGTACTGGATAAATGGTTATTGAAAATGAATGGATGGAAAAATAATAATGTTAAAGGGATGTCATGATCCATCCGTGGGTAGCAGTTATTTTGCAACTGCAGCGTTTGGGGGTTCAAATCACAACGCTACTTTGTTTGCTTTTTTTCTACCCACAATCCAAAGGCAAACATCTACACAGCAGGCATGATGATACTTTGTTTTGCCATTTGCTCAAGTACAAGTACATTGGAATGCTTTTATTTTCACGCAAGTCATACATGTATGTAATGGCAAGACTGGTAAGAGCGGAGCTTGGGGCAAGAGTGCGGGGTCAGCCGTTAATCCAGGCGACCCTGCAGTAGTATTTGGGGGGGGAGGGTGTTCAAGATCTCATCGGAGATGTGACTGTTCTGCTGAGGGCAGCGTTTGAACTGGCGACCTTCTGATCACAAGCACAGAGGCCTAACCCACTGAGCCGCAAACACGCCCCCCCAACACACCAGACACACACCAAAGGTGGTCCCTGTGACAGGGCAGGAAGCAGTGCTGGTGAGATGACCGGCACCTCAACATATTGGAACACGACGTTCAGCTGGGATGGGGCGAAGTGTAGAGGCTTGGGGCAAGGGTGGGGTGGGAGTGTGTTTGGCCTGAGAACAGAAGAATAGCATCTTTTCTGTGATAGCTGCTGGGACCTGTATGGGCTTGACGACCTGCATTGTCTATCTTGCAAGCAACCAGCAGGCTGTGATCTGCTAACCAAGCTTCCGGACCTGGTTCCTTGACGCCGGCTTTAGCTGGAGGCCTGTCTGGGGTCGTGATGGCCCGCTGTGGGAAGGGAGCAGCCTCAACGAGCGCAATGTGGCACTCACCTGGGGAATGTGCCAAGGACCATCCTGGTTGCATCTGCCTGGCATAGGGGGCCTGGCTCAGGAACATTAGATGGCATCTATGTCATTTGCTGGTCCATAAGAGCCTTCAGTTTGTGCTGGTAGGACAGCATTTCTGAGTTGTGGGAATGCTGTATTTGGACTGGCTGGGTTTCTCAGCCCTTTCATTGTTTTTAATCACGTATTGCTCTGCACATCAACTTCTGATGGGATCCAGGAGTCGTTACTGTCAGAATTGTGTTGTCTGGTGTGCCTCGGGCAAATGCCCCTTATCTTTCAGCTCCTCTCTTTCCTGATGGATCTGTAGCAGATGGATGTTAAGGCAAGGCAACTCGAGCCAGCGTTCAGCTAAGGACACCGGGGCTCTCTGGACCTGGCTTATGCTGCAGGCTCAGAGCCAGGCCTGGGCAGTGCTAGGCCAGTGTAAGCTCTGGTTCCGGCTCAGTCACACTGTGGGGCAGCACACAGCAACGAGATCACATCCACCTATATTTACCGATTTATTTTCGGGCTGCCTCTTATTTACAACTCCGGAATCCAGGTTGCAGAAATGCTTTTGCAGCAAGTATTACACATAGGAGGTAACAGGATCTCTACCTTGCGTTAGAGGACCTTTCCGGCCTGCGCACATACTTGGCCTCAGACCCTAATGCATATGTGCTCACATGTACATATATTCAGGCAAGAAAACATGTGACTACCCTCACTTTAGACTGTGGTGATGTGTATGTGTTTTATTTAATGTGGTCTATACAAGTTTGATAGTGTTGCAGTTACCATTCTTGGCTCATTGTGGCTGCACAGGGACACAAATATGTTTTGTTTTTTTTTTACAGTACTGATGTTCTTTAAGTGGTTGAGCATTAGGTTGTACAAGGATTGTGTGACCACTTGAGTTAGACTCAAGACTGTGACATTGTAAAATTACATTACTGGCTATATGTAGTGAAACAAGGACCATGTTATGCCTCACAAGTGTAATTTAAGGGTCTGGCTTGAGTTCTAGCTGCAGTGGAACCGCAGCTCCAAAGATTGTTTATACAATCCCTTTGGGGCGAACTCCATGGAATCTCCTGGGGCAGGAGTCACACCTCTCTGGCATACCAGCCAGACAAACCCTGAAGCTTCAAGCTCCTCATTCTTTGGCTAAAATTACTCTAAGCTAATGTTCCTATAATGTGTAAAAAAATTTAGGCAAGTGATCGTCTTCAGGGGTCTGTCCTTATTGTTGCACTTAAATCATGATCCAAGTGTTTCTTTTTGCATCAGGTTTGTGTTTTGAAAGACCTTAGGATATCCCAGTTTCAGTAATGTACAAAAATTGGTATGTTGTCATCAGGCTGACCTGTGAATGGATTGTAAGTGGTCCTCCTGTCTGTTATAAAGTGGTTGGCAGTGTGGGAAGCTATCTCTCAGGGTCAGCACAGGGCTCCAGTGCCAGTGGACTTGTTCACCAAAGTGAGTTTCTGGAGTCGGCCCAGTCCTCCTACAACTGTTACTTCCCCCACCCCCATGCGGGCCTCTACCCACTGGCTACTAGATGTGATTGAGCCCTAAGATAGTAAGAAGGGGTAATTCTATTAGCAGGGCAGCAGGTGGGGATCCATCAATCAGACTGGGCCCAGGAGGCACCCTGCTTTTACCCCTCCCCTCCCCCCCCCATAAAATCGCAAACCTTTATTCTGTTTCCCATGGTATCATTGATCAGGAGCCAGGACCTTTTAAGGTACAGATACAGGAGAGACAAAAAGATCTCTGCTGGTCCAGCTGGCTGCCCACCTCCACCTGGGCATATAGAGTGGAGAATCGCGAGTTCTAGTCAGTCCTTCAAAGATGAAAAGCAACAGCAAGCTCATCGAAGGTTAGAACCTGCTTAAAAATGCATCCCATTTCCTCCTCCTCCAGACTTCTGCCACTTGGAACCAGGTCTGGCTGTTGCCCTCATTAGTTGCTGTTGAGGCAAAAGGCATAGTAAGACAAAGCTGTGTAAAAGTCAGTGTCTGTGTGTTAAGGGTACTGGGGCAAACCCACTTCTGGAACATGATGCTCAGGTTCAGGATGGGCTTTTGGTCAGCCCAACTCCAGAGCTGGCTGGGTTGGATTTGCTGTTTTGGGTGTAATTTATGGGGAGTGATACAGCTGAGATTAAAATGGAAGCTAATGATATATAGTGAGACTTGATTGGTGAGATTGTTTCTCTCTCTAATTATTTATAGAATTAGCCCAGTGGCACGATGCCTCAGTGGGTGGTTCTGTTGTCTCACACCTCCAGTATAGGGTGTTCAAAACCCACCTTGGCTCTGATTGATTGTTCTCCTCATGTACTCTTCAAGTTCCTTCCTCCAAAGATGTAAAATTAGGTTAATTGGAACCGACCCTTACTTGTGCAGTACCGTGTACTGGCGGTTCACTATTGCAAAATATCCAAGCTGTACCCTAACCATAACCATGCTGACATGGCCCTGCTTACTAACAGAGCTGAGAACGTGACCACACCGAGCTGGTTGCATCACCACCATTTGATTGGTCGAAATGCATGGAGATACCGGTGTTCTGAGTATGGATTATTTGAAGGTAAAAGCGTATGTTCCATATATATTCATTATTAGTAGTATCGTGATGTATTGATGCATTGAAAATGTCTAACCTATTTTTAAAAAGTACTATTAAAACAACTGAACAGATGCTGCTTCCGCTAGCGTTTGATACTTGCATAACATGGCGATTCTGACAGACTTGCTAGTGGACATAGTAGATTACTGTTAGAGCTCGACCGAAATATCGGCTAGGGATGCACCGAAATGAAAATTCTTGGCCGAAACCGAAAACCAAAAAAGAGGAAATGAAGGCCGAAAACCGAAACACCGAAAGAAATTATGCCAATAATTAGTACCATTGCATTTATGGCTATGACTGTGTACTAACCTTACTAAAATCAAGGCATTGCGATTGCATAAATTAATATTTCAAAGAATAAATCAGTTACAAATTATGAAAATATTTATTTAGCACATTGCAACAATGCACAGTATAAAATAAAATTCAAACTTAAATGTTTAACTTAACCGCACTCTCATATCCAGCATGGCGATCGGGATGTTTGGATTTCAGGTGATAAATTAAACCCGACGTGGAGAAAGTCTTTGCAGACGCACCCCCTCTTGAAATTTCGGCATTACATGTTTTGCAAATAGCTATCCGTGGGTCTTTCTCAGATATATTGAAATACGTCCACACCGCAGACATGCTGCTTCAGACAAGCACGTGCAGGCCCCGGTTTCTGTTTGCGTCATCACAACATACTGTTTCGGCCGTGTTTTTCGGTGATAAAAATCTTTCGGCTGAAAACCAAAAATGCACTTTTGGGCAATTTTCGGCCGAAAATTTTCGGTGGCCGGATATTCGGTGCGTCCCTGATATCGGCCAGCCGATATATCGGACCGATATTTCGGCATTTTTTAATGTATTGGCATCGGCCATTATCCGAGTGTAGTACGCCGATTTACAGACAGGCATGTCTGCGGGCAGCCCAGTGTTATTGTTGCTGTGGAACACATGACACATGCTGCCTTGTACAGGACCCCGGCCAGAAGTTTTGGAAGAGTCCTGGGAGAAAACAGTAAGGCTTAATTTCTGATCTTGCAAAGATCTATTTATTTAACTGGCTTGCTATGAAATGTTGCTTAAAAAGAGAACGAGAGCGCTTTTGAAAGAGAACGTGAATTACGCTGCTGGGAACTGTGTCTTGTGTCGGAGCATATATCGGCCATCAGCTGACCCTGACTGCTAAATATCGGCATCAGCTATTGAAAAACCCATATCTGTTGACCTCTACACCATGTGAACAGTAAATAAGTGTTTCTTCAGTTTTACGTAACTGTCGCTCTCGAAACTCGGTACCGCCTTAACCGAACTGACCCTTCTGCAGTGGAAAAGCAAAGTGAGCTAGATCCATGCTATAACTAGTCTCTTTGCAGTGCGGCTCGGGTATGGCTTGGTTCCTGTATGCCAGTGGAGAAACTCCCTATGTGCCCTGAGATGGACTGGCATCCAGTGTGGGGTCTGCCATATTCTTGTGCTTCAACCACCACCACTGTGTAGCTCCCCACCTGGATGATGCAACAGTAGCCATTTTGCTGCGGTACACTCACCACACAGTAGTTAAGTTGGTAAAGGGACAGGAAAGAATTTACTAATTGCATACAGGGGATGATTAGGACACAAGGGGCACAGATTAAGCCAAGGCATCGGGGTACCACCCCTACTCTTTCAGAAGATCTAGGGATCTTTTATGACTTCAGAGAGTCAGGACCTCAGCTTTAGGTCTCATCTGAAGGGCGGCACCATTTTTACGGCACGGCGTCCCTGTCACTGCACTGGGGCATTGGGAACCACACTGACCACAGGGTGGGCTAACCTGTTGGCCACACCAACAGCTCTTTCAACAGCAGCCCAGCTTTCCTAGTTGGTCTCCCATCCAAGTACTGGCCAGGTCCAAACCTGCTTAGCTTCAGATAGATCACCTAGTCTGACCTGCAGGCGGTATGGCTCGTGACTTTTGAAGTCTGAATTCATTTCGATGTGTCACCTGACTTTGTTGTATGCATTGTAAATGGATATTTTAAGTTAAAATTAGACTAAACTGTAAGTAAGTTCCTTCTCCTTCCCCTGTTGTCACCCCTAGACTGAAGATGCTTGGGTCATCGTCTCCGGATGTACATGTCACCTGTGAAGAGGGACGGTCGGTGGAGGTCCTTCAGTTCGACAAGCCTCAAGGATACGCCCTCGGGATGGGACATGTGGGCCGGGTCGGTTCAGACCTCTTCACGGAGCAGCATGCCGCAGCTGCCTGTCTTCTGTGAATGTTTTTATTTCTTCTTTTTATAAAAGTGAGGCTGAACGGGAGCCCGTCTTAAAAAACGGCTCAGTTTGTTTTATTATTATTATTGTTATTGTATTGATTTAATTTCCTTCTCTGACTCTGTGAAAAGTGGGGCTAGCGTAAGAATACAAGCCTGATTGGGACACATGCACAAGCACTGCTTGCACAAGTGACATTTTCATTTTCATATTTATTGCCACTTGGGTTTCAGGTACGTTCTTCTAATTTAGTCTTTTTATTGCTCAGAGGTACGAAGGCATTCGCTTCGGTATGGATGGTTTCTTGGGCTGGTTCCAGTGCTGCGGGTCTCGGGGAAGGCCTTGAGTGACAGGAGGAGTGACCCAACACCAGATCCGATTGGGCCTGGCTGTACATTCCTACTTTACTACTATTGGCCAGTACCATAGGCCCTGTTGCACATCCATGCAGCCAATCACATGAGGGGTATCAGTATTAAAATTATCCCAAATTAGCAAAATTGGCATTAAAAAAAGATTAGTGATACTGAGCATGTTTTTATTTTTAGATTTGAAATTGATTCATTTTTAAGCTGCCTTTAACAGATTCTTTAATTCCACTTAAATTTCAATGTTTACAAATTGAAAACCCCATACAGGTTCTGCCAAAGTTGATAGTGTTTCTCAGTTCCAAGGTATGTCAGGAAATCATGTTAAGTTTTTTTTTTTTTTAATTTTGGTTGTATTGTATACCTGGGCAGTTTTTATTACGCAAGTATTTCAATGTTTTTCTGTTTTTCAAGTTGATGTAGAGTGTCACTGAAAAGAACCTCACACAACAGTCAGTAATGAGTCAGATGTTATTTCGTTCAATGTACAGTTTAGGCAGATCCTTTTTTTTTGTTGGCAAATGTATTTTTGAATCTGAACAGCTGCATAACATGAATGTGTGTATAAGATAATGGCAGGAAACACAAACCCATATCCCTGCCCATAACCAGTCTTGTCTGAGTTGTAGGTCAAACAGTCCTTCTGAAGATGGTTGTGCCAAAAAAAAACAAAAAAAAAAACACGTTTCTCAGTGGTTTTACGGTATGTGACACTAGTAATGGGTGAAGTATGTTCTTCATGTCCAAATTTGTTTGACCACACAGAGGTGTCCCTTCATCTGCTGTTACATGAGTATTTCTGACTGAGCGGTACAAGTTTTATATTTGATTGCTGTTACCAAGGTACATTTATATGAATGGTCTTATTTTTTTCTACTGTGGAGAACACTGTTCTTAGTGTTTATTTCTATTGTCAGAATTCTTTAATTCCTCTAAATGGTACATACATATTGGTATATAATACATGCATTGACAATTCATTTTTATATAGATAAATATTATATACGCATACACAATATAACCTGTCTAAAATAATGCCCCTAAATTACTGGGGGATCACCTGTGCCCTTTTTTTTCTTTCTGAAAAGATGAAATGAAAGTGAAGAGAATAGTTGGCATGTCAGGTTCTAGGGTGTGGTGGCTTAGAGGTTCTATCCATCTGGTTCCACCTGGAGAGGAAGCCGTTTCTCCTGGTCACTCCTGTAAGGGTTTACTTTAACGGAAGCCCCCACAGCTGGCGTTCTGCAATGCAGGGTGCACTTTCCACTGGGTCACCAGACTGGATTGACGTTGTGATTATTATTATAGTTATTAATAATATAATTCTTTAAGGAGAGGTGGGGTAGACCCAGGTACGTGAGTATGATGAGAGAATCTATTTGCTGGGTTTGCTGCTGTGAATACTGGTCTGCCCCACCTTTCTCTCCCCCAGGGCAGAAGTGAAGCTGTTGTGTGTTGTGTCATCATCTGTCAAGTCGACCGTAAGAACCTGCATTTTTCTTGTCATTTTTTATTTGATTCCTCATTATCAGCTCCGATTTTTTTATTATTATTTTTTTTTTTTTTTATTTCCATTCAGTCAGATGTTTCCTTTTCACAGAATCATCTGTCAACAAGGACCCAAACTTGACTCTTGTAAGGCATTTTTTCCCATGGTACGTACTGTCTGGTGCACCTCAGTCCATGGTAATAACTAGGTATGTCTGTGGTACTGAAAATGGGCAGTTGGTATGCGTTCATGGTGACATTGTAATCTTTTGGGACGGGGCTCTCTTATCCATTTCCATTGGTTCTTACTGGGTTTCTTTACAGATGGGAGGTCATGTGATAATGTTCACTTTGACAGGGAGGTTAAAAGCCATGACAACAGCCAGTGATTCTGAGACAGTATTTTCTTTAGACATCAACCTTCATAATGTCTTTTCTTTACATGTAAATAAAATGACAATAAAAGGATGTGCTGAATTTCCGAGTGATTTACCATGTTTTATTTCCCCTTTCTTTAGTGTCTTCCTGTACTAGTAGGTTGCGCTCGATGATGGCTGGTACAGCTGTGGAGTTCCAGCCGTAGAACATTAATTGTTGTGCTTGTCCATGTACACATGGACACACATGTCTGTGTCCAAGTTGCTTTTTTTGCTAACCTTCATCATTACCCTCTTACAAGTTATGTAGCTCTATTGAATATCATAGAGCATTGCCCAGTAGCATCAAGACACACAGGGTGTACATCAATATGTATATTTGACACTTATTGTTCTCGCGTACCCATTTGACGTCATCTTCCATTGCCGAAGTACAGTTGCAATATTTAAGAACAGAAGTATGGAGAACGACGCCAGTGCCAAATATCAAGGATGCATCGGTCACATCCTCACCAATGAGAACAATCCCATGATTCACTCCATCCCAAGTGTGGTCATGGGAGGCAAGTTAGCAAGTACGCTCTCGCCTAGAATGCAAGTATGTTCTTTGCGTTCTTGGTATCGATAAACACCCATAGTGTTTGTTTACTGAGCATCTTTGCTTGCAGCCCCCTTGCACCAGAATACAATTATGTTGCTATATTTCGGCCCAATTGGACTCATGCACCAGTATGTGCAGTGGTGAAGGCAGTTTCATCTCCACCCCTTCACTGCCCGGCTGACTCAGCTGGGTGTGACACACGCCCAGTGTGGTGATCCAGTCTGCAGGGCTGCAGTCCAAGCTTGTTCTGCACTATTACGTCTGAGTCACACTGTTCTGAAGAGCCGTCTCATTCTTCTTCTCAACTGGACAGTGTCAACCTGAAAGGAGAAGGTATAGGCAAAGCAGGGAACCAATTGGGCAGATGCACCACGGCATTGTGGGAATGGTCAGCTAAATTAATTGCAGATTAAATTTGTTTTCAGTCATATGTCTTTTGTTAATTTAAATAAACAGTAGTTAATATCACTGGGCATGATTTTAAGTTTTGTGATAAGGCTGTAGTAATAAATGCTATAGTATTAAACAATATGATACTTGCATAGTTTTAGTCACAGGGGACGGGATTCATAGGGCAAACAAGTGCAAAGTAAACGCACTTGCTGACACTGAGGCTCGCATCATAGCTAATACCATGGAACCCAGGAACAACTTCCTATCAAATGTGTTTCCAAACAGGACCTATGGATATGACTTTAATTACAGTCCAATCAGCTCTCCTTACCTACTGTGTGCTAACAGTGAATTGACCGGAATGGACTAGGTGACTCGCTCCCATTTAACTTAATCGTTTTTAAAAAGTGACTCTAGTGTTTTTGTTTTCGGTCGAGGGGCGGGAGATGCTGCATACTGCAGTAAAAGCTGTGTTCTCACATGTCTTTACTTCACCGACAGCTGAAGTCGATTAAAGCTGTCAGCAGCGTTTACAATAACGGCCGGAGCTGGCGGCGGATCAGGGCTCGGGGGGCAGTGGAAGCTGGATACTCCGGCAGCCGCTGCGCTTTTAGTGTGGCTCAGCTGGCGCACCAGGACGACAGCCAACCCCGGCCACGCCTGTTGGACCGCTAATACCCCGCTTTTCTACCAAAAAGCTCTGGAAGACCCATCCGGTTTGCATCACTAATTACACCAAGCAGGTAGGTCCGTTGTACTAAGCGTTGTGGTTTTTTACCCGCAATCACCTTGTGTAGTGGTGCCCACTTTAAGGGGATTACTCAGTCAAAACCTGAGGGTAGATGTGACTCATTTATAGGTTTTGCTTTATTCTTCTTGTGTGAAATCCACTGTTTTTTCCTGCTGATTACAAACAGATATGTTCAAGTTACTGTAAGATGAGTAGCAGCTGGTCTCTGATCTGACAGTCTGTGGGTACACTGCTCCCCCTAGTGATACATCAGGATCACACTTAAGAGCTGTCCATCCAACCAACCTCCCACTGCTTATCCTGGACTAGGAGAATGCTGGACCCTGACTCAGACAACACAGGGTTCAATTCCTAGTTAACTTATGCATACCATAAACTACGAGTACTAGTAATAGTAGTTTAGCACAGACTACTGGTCGGGGATTGACTTGCCTGAATAAACCTCATGCCCCCCACAGTAAATATTACAGTTTAAACTGCAGCTGTGATACTTGTCTGAATTATCTGTACAGACATGCGGAAGTAACATTTAACTTTATTTCCGCCTTCAAAATTTATAACGACTTACTGATAATAAACATGGAAAACAGACTCAAAATGAATACAGGTGTGTGACCCTTTGACAAGTGAATTTTGTAAAAAGGTCATTCTTGTCATGGACGTCTTACCTTCGCTAGTCTCACTCATCCTCTGGATGCACTCCGTACTGAGCACAGGGTCAGAGAGACCTTGGGAAGCAAACCGAATGAATTGATGACGTTTCGGCTGGTTGTTTGTCTCTTTACTAAACTCTAAAAAATGAAAAGTAAACATTAATGGAACGGAATATGATTTTTCTACAACTCAGACTAGAAGTCAGTGTATCACAAGTTCAAGGAAGCTGTTCCGTAAAAACTGACACAAAATTTCTGAAGCTCGACAAGTAGAGCGCCGTGCTAAGAATGCTAAGGTTGTGGGATGAAATCCTAGGGCTCATACATCATAAAAACAATAATAAAAAATCGCACCCCTTCCCTATTGTGTCATGTTGGATAAAAGTGTCAAACAAATTAATGAAATGCACATCAGTAGTAGATGAAATACATTACAAATCCTCTGCTGCCAAATAAAGTTTGTCTCATTTTTATTATATATAATATAAAATACTGTTTAATTTATTGAGCATACTTTGTACAATGAGTGAGTGAGTGACTGAGAGCATAACCCAGCAATTGATAACGTTACTGTAATGTTTTACTCTAAAACAGTGTTTTACACAATATACACATTGCATTACTGACAAAAGAGAAATGCAGATGGTTAGGAGTCCAATACAGCAGGGTTAGTACAGTCATGAGAAAACAAAAATTAAGCGAATGGATTAAAAAATGTTCTTCAGTGCATTTCCTCTTTGATGTTCACAAATAAAAGTGCCGGTTTGGTAGCACGGAGACAATCCCACTACTCCGAAACATGAGAAAGAGCAGTTTTTGTTTTTTCTTTGTTTTTTTTTTTTAACCAATGTCAACATTTTGTAAAGAAATATTTTAAAGTAAAAAAAAATAGATATCTCTAAGAAAGAGAATTAAAATCAACTTTTGTCATGTGGGCCATAATGGCTGTCTTTGTAGCTTTTCTTTTCATTCTGAGGTACTTCTTGACAAAAAAAAAAAATAATAAAATAAATCGATTCATTTTCAGTTTTTTTTTGTGTTGCAGAATAGCACCATTGAGTTGAACTGGGAGACAATGGACCACAGAAGTTCCACGCGCTGTCCGTTCCCAGCTATGAGTGGCTCCGTGTTGTTACGTCCTTTTCATGCAGACCACGCAGCGACTCACACGCGTCAGCAGGTTCCCTGCTTTCAGTGTCTCCGGCTGTGGCTTCCTGTAGGGGTCAGAGGTCAAAGGACCATATAAGCATTAGGAGCTGCTGTCAAAACGAGCAACTGCTCCTTTCAGTCACAACTGCTGTTTAATCATTACTAATAGTTTTTTGATTGTATTTTTAACTGGATGTTTTTTTTTAGTAATCCTACTTATTTTCCAAACTGGGTTTTTTTCTTAGTGACACTAAGTTTCCTAACTTGAAAACCCACGCTGTCCTACCTGAACATTTCTGAAGCATCTACAGTTGCGAGCCAGAAACTGTAGGAGTTGGCATAGTAGTTGCAGGTGCCCCGGCCGTGGCATTCAAGAAAGGGGGCAGTGCGGAACTCCTCCAGGCAGGAACCAGGGGATGCCAGAGCCTGACCAGAGCCTTCTGCCCCTGCGCTGGTGTGCTGGGAGTTGGAGGGATGGGAAGCAGAAACAACAGGATGATGAACTTCTAGACAATAATGTTTTGCACTAGGCTGTTTATGCTGTGGATGATGCTGAGCTTCACTGTTGTTATATTTCTAATAAATAGAGAAGCAGTTGAATAATGCCAGGCACAGGGGTGTGTACCATCATGAAGGAGTATCCAATCCACAGCAGGTCCCATGTGTCTGGGCATCTTGGCACCCGGATGGTCTGACTGTGGACTGCGATCACCATGGCTGGGGCTTCGCATACCGAGCACCTGGACAAGAACAGGGGTAGGTGAGTGGCAACCAGGAGAGTACTGGAGATCCAACATGTTAAAATGCGGCAGGGGTAGTCAGGGGGGTACTGGAGATCCAACATGTTAAAATGTGGCAGGGGTAGTCAGGGGGGTACTGGAGGTCCAACTTGTTAAAATGTGGCAGGGGGTAGTCAGGGGGGTACTGGAGGTCCAACATGTTAAAATGCGGCAGGGGTAGTCAGGGGGGTACTGGAGGTCCAACTTGTTAAAATGTGGCAGGGGGTAGTCAGGGGGGTACTGGAGGTCCAACTGTTAAAATGCGGCAGGGGCTAGTCAGGGGGGTACTGGAGGTCCAACATGTTAAAATTTGGAGATGCCAATTGCCAAGAGTCAGTTGGGGCATTAATGAATCTCTAACTGCATTACCTGCTGATGAAAGGCTTGATGTCCTTGCCGGTGATCGGTGCCATGCTCATGGGCATGGGTTGCGGTGTGGACAGCCAGTAGGAGTAGTCATTACGGGAGGCAAAGTTGCAGACATTGTTGATGTCGCAGAACATGTAGGGCATGGTGCTAAATCTGGCCAAGCAGCTACCCGAGGTGCCTGTTGGGGTTGGGTTTAGGGGTCAGAGCTGTCCGGTGTGCCTGAGGCTTCACGGTACCTTGGCTTGAAGAGATGTGCTCCTTACCGAGGTCCTGACCATGCGCTCTTTCATTGCCCTGTACATACAGCAGCGAATAGCCATTGTAGATCAAGCTGGTGCCATCTGGGCAAAGGGGCACATCGGTGGTCTGACTGTGGCGAGTGATGAGGAACCCGAGGGCAGCAGA